TTTCTGGAAAGATCGATCCTTCCAAGCTTTGGAAAGTTTGGAATGAGCGATCTTTCCAAAGCAATCCAACGTTCATTCCAAATTGGAATGGACGCTCCTTGGTCCTGTGTTAGTCAAAACGGCAAAAGCCAAAAACTGGAAAAAATTCTGCGAAGAAATAAACCATCACACAGACGCAAGAACAGTATGGCGCAAATTACACGCAATCCGAGGTATTAAACGAACCAAAAAAACACCTACCATAAATAACTCAACAAACCCTAAACAAAAAGCAAATAACCTCGCAGACAACTTCTCAGCCATTTGAAGTAATAGTAACCTCCTTGAGGAATTCCAAAAACAATTAAAAAATCATATAAATTCTTCAAATTACCGAAAGATGATAACCTAGAAATTAACCAACAATATACACTAGAGGAACTATTCCATGTACCTAATAATAGAAAAAAAGGAACAGCCCAAAGGAGTAGACCTTACCTCACACCAAATAATTAAACAGCTAGCCCAAAACCTACTGGAATGACTACTTAAACTATACAATAACATCTACCAAAACGGTCAGGTTCCTACTTCATGGAAAGAGGCATTGGTCATCCCAATACCAACGCCGAACAAACCAGCAAACGAAGCAAACTCCTATCGTCCAATCTCCCTAACCTCAAACTTATGTAAAATCATGGAGGCAATGGTCAAAAATAGACTCCAACACTGTCTAGACCAAAACAATATAATAAACCAAGATCAAAGTGGATTCACCCCAGGCCGATCAACCTTAGACAACCTTGCCCGATTAGAAGAAGACATCAAAACGGGCCAACTAAACCGACAATACACAGTAGACATATTTCTAGACTTCTCTAAAGCTTTTGATATGGTATGGCATAACTGGCTAATACAAAAACTAAAAAAAGCAGGACTTAAATCGCAAAATAACCGTGGGTATTGACCAAACGCTTATCGGACCTGTGTCCCTTAGAAAATGGCACACCTCAAGGTAGCATTCTAAGCCCAACTCTTTTCAACGTTATGATTAGTGACCTATTCGAGGGAATACCCAATAATATTCAAACTTCCAAATACGCGGATGATGGAGCCGTCTGGGTCCGCACCAGAAGCATAACTATGGCTAAACAATTACTGCAGAATGCATTCAATTAAATTCAAACATGGGCAAATAAATGGGGTTTCTCACTAAATGCCGAAAAACAACAACAGGGATAGCATTCAAACACAGAATTAGGCTTGCAAACAACCCAAAATACAAAAAAACAAAAAACCCATACAATTCCAAAAAGAAACCAAATTCATTGGACTAATCTTTGATGAACACCTCACCTGGGGTGCTCACATTAAAAACCTAACAAATAGACGCACTAAAGACCTAAACAACACTACGCTGCCGGACAGGTTCCAACTGGGGGGCCTCCAAGGAGACCCAACTATCACTTTACAAATCACTAATTAGATCAAAAATAGGCTATGGATGCCAAATATACAACACCTTAAACTCCTCATTAAGCAATAAACTAAACTTAATTCAATATCAAGCACTCAAGATAATCACACGCACTCAGCATGGCACACCGCACATATCGCTCCAGGCACTAACAGGCGAAATACCCCTTGATCTACGCCGAGAACATCTAACAATAAATTACTGGGCCTCAACCCAACAAAACCAACAAATCCAACAGATCCTTAAAACTAACATAATCTCCAGACTCCAAGCTCTAGCTCGCAAAACCCCTCAATTAACACCAATCTCTCAACGCATAATAAATTGCCTAAATATACACAACCTAAATAATTTACAGTTAAAAACAGCCCCAAATAACACCTTCACGCCCAAACTCCAAACCCCCAAAATCGACATATCTCTCCCCACCAGCCTAAATAATGAAACTGATCCAAATACTGTGGAATACTGTAATTCTCGCGATCTCGACCTTTGGAAATGAGGTAAATATGCCCAAAACACGAGAATGCGATATCGCGAGAACGCGAGATTTCGTGATTGAGATTCTCTTTAATGCAAGCCCCATGCACTTAACTACCCAAGAATGGGTATAACAACATGTGCGTTAACAGTTATTACAGTTATTTGCGCACCGATAAGATAACCCCTACCGACAGGGTGGTGTGGTGGTTCAAAGCCAAAAGATCGATACTGTCGTGTGCCTAATAAAATGCTGTGCGGTGCCTTTGATCAACTAGATTCTTTCGTGTTGTTTATCAAGTCACCAGTTCATCTGTCATGAGTTTTTGTATGTGTGACCAGTGTATCCACAATTAATTAGAATATTTCATATTGACAAACTATATCCAGAAGTTAGGTATTTGCCAATCAAACAGTTAGATATTTGCCCACAACAAATATGCATTTGCTTAGTTGCATCAGTGCGGTTTATTCATGTTATTCACGCTTTTTGTGGCAGATGGAAATTGAAGATAACGATAGCGTCAGCAGGGATTATGGAGGCGATAAGACATAACTTTAGTTGTTTTTCAGGCCACAAACCTTCATAAATATATTCTTCAAAAAAAGAAACGCAAAGCCAGATTTGTGTGAGGAAGGAAAATTGAGGCCATTGATACCAATGCAGTCGTTGTTAACGATGTTATCTACTCAATATGAGGCAAGGACGTCTTGCTCGTAGACCTTCTGCTCTTCAACGTTTTCGTACGGGCTGGTCGGAGATTCTGCGCAGTCCGGGTATTTGGGATGCGGTTGGGGTGGCTATGGGCGTCCTTTCACGTAGGTGGCACAGTCGGATGTAGCGATCTTGGGCAGGGGTGGTTACTCTTTGTGGTCCCCACCTTTGCCGATCACGTGTTGACCCGTGCTGTTGAAGCCTTGTAATGGTGCTGGGCGGTACGTTGAAAAACCCTGGCTACAGCTGATCGGGATTCCCATGTCTGCAAGCAGCCTGTGACGCTGTTTCTTTGCACTCCTGCTAATCTTGGCATGTTGTTGAACTTTGACTGTTCGATTGACGCAGATGCCAGACAAAACCTTTAATACCGTTCACAGTGCTGCTGCACGTGCAGTAGGTGCAGCTCCGTGGCCCTTTTGTTAATGCACTGGGTGCGTTTTTTCCCGAATCGTACGTGTTTCCCGACTAATGGCTTGCAAGTCCTTGTTCTGATCATTTTGATCAGGGGAATTTGTCTCTGACTCTATAATAAATTAAACCTCATCATTTTGCATCTCTTGGTCCGCTCAGTTTTGCTTTTATGGCCAAAAATATCCGTTTTGCGTTTCGTTTAGTGAAGAGTATATATTTAAGTTACATGGCAGCAGGAGTATTTACAGTCTACTACAATTTACAGAGCATATATTGTGTCCAATAAAACAAATCGTAGATACATTTCAACACACTCTTTTCTACTATTTAAGAAACTGGAATGTTGAGACAATTGGCTTTTTATGACAACATCTAGGTAACAAATCATATCTATCGCTGAAATCGAAGAGCATAGTTATGGAGCTGTTAAACATAAAAATCTACCAGGGCAGCTGGTTTTGACCAATCAAGTGCCTTAAAATGAGTTTATTCTTAGACATGTTAAAAGCGATTGACCCCACAGGATATAGCTGAGAACTGTCTCTCTGGCGGCCCTGGGATATGATTGTGGCAGTTACAGGTTTTGTTTGACTGTCAACTAACCAGTAAATCACTTAGTGTCAGTATTAGTATATAGTGTATATAATACACAGTGTAGTTAGTATTAGCATTAGTCATTATTATTATTAATATTAATATTTAGTATTAGTATTTAATATTAGTATTTAGTATATAGTATTAGTATTAGTTTGCAGTATGGGTTTTAGGGATTTTAATGACGATTTGATACTACACCTTTTAACTTAGTTATGCTTGGGTCAGTCACTACCCTATCAGCTCCTTTGTGTCAGCCAGGGCAAATGTTCTGGTTGAGTGGTTGACCCTATTGTTTTCTTTAGGGTCAGCTTTGCATGCTTTTTAACCCACACTTGCACCTCAGTCACTCCACAGACAAGTCACCGACAGACGACAGCAAGTGGGCACATTTTATAGATTTTGTAAAGTCAAGGTATGTTTCGAATTAAATACTCAAACATATATAAACCATCTTTTCATAAATAAGATTATATATAGGTGTACGTTAAATAAGGTATTTGTTATGATGTGTGGGAGATTAAGTCAATGTCTGACTCTCCTGGACAGGGTGTTGTTTGAATATGTTTATAAGGCTTTGTCATATATTTGTTAAATGTTAATTGTAAGTGTGTGGGCATTTATGATAGTTTAAGTATGTTTAGTAATTAATTGTGTTTTATGGTAGTGTTGTGTTCAGATCTGTAAATATGTATAAACAATAGCACTGATTTGATAATAATGTCCACACGTGCAAGAGCATTGTGTAAGGAAGCTAGTTTTATCGTACATTTAGAATACTTTCCATAGTTATAGGTACTGTAGCCCTGGCTATGTAGTCGCGACAGACTAAAGTGTAACCTACATACTTCTGGTATGTTTACTTATCACCACATGCAAATATATTATTATTATTATTATGTTTATCTATTGATCACATTTTACACCACTTAAGAAGTATTTTGATTTGACGTATGCATAAACTATATGTATGTATAATGTAATTCTAATAGTGTACCATGTTCTGACGTATACATATCCTCTATACATGTATAAGGTAATCCTAATAAAGTATCATGTTCTTATTTTAATTGTCATAATTTACAAGATTCTTATTGAGTGTTATTGTGCATTTCAGGGTGTGAAAGAAAGTATACCATACATACTCGTCATCTAATAAAATGAATCACACCCGTAGCCGTGTTTTGACATCATTTTACGGTGCACACACATATTCTGCTACATGATATCGTTATAATACTACTGGGGAATGTTGAAATTAGCTTCTATCATTTGCTCATTTTGTTCAACAGGACCATGACGCTCGTTATATATCGACTCCCTGTATATAGTTAATCGGTATTATTCTTTATACTGCGGTCCAAAGTTATCAGCATTTTCATCTATTGTTGCAAGCTTGACTGAATTGTTTACGCAAAAAGAATCTAACTGATCATGAACTACTGAGGCATTCATATTTTATTAATATGGGTCGGATGCCTTTAAGTCAATAAATATATTTGACCTTGACAAGTGAGACTAGCACGATATGTATATATATTCTAGAATGGGACAAAGATGCTACCCCGAGATGATACATGTTACAGTTAAGAGTCTCAATTAAAGAGAATGTCACCCTTCTGTTTTTTTTAATGAAATTTTTAAACACTCGTCGATGAGCTGGGTATGTCGATGGGTGTGGTGCTGGGTGTGGTGATGGGTATGGCGATGGGTGTGCTGCTGGGTATGGTGCAAGGTATGATGCTGAGAATGGTGCTGGGTGTGGTGCTGGGTGTGGTGATGGGAATGGCGATGGGTATGGTGCTAGGTACGATCATGGATGTGGTGCTGAGTGTGGTGCTGTTTATGGTGCTTGGTCTGGTGCTGGGTGTGGTGCTGGGTGTGGTGGTTGGTGTGATGCTGGGTGTAGTGCTGTGTGTGGTGCTGTGTGTGGTGCTGGGTGTGGTACTGTGTGTGGTGCTGTGTGTGGTGCTGGGTGTGGTGCTGTGTGTAGTGCTGGGTATGGTGATTGGTATGGTACTTGGTGTTGTTATTAGTATGGTGCTGGGTGTGGTGCTAGGTGTGGTGATTTGTGTGGTACTTGGTGTTGTGATTGGTTTGGTGTTGGGTATGGCGCTCGGTGTGATGCCTGGTGGGGTGCTGGGTGTTGGACTGGGTGTGGTGCTGGATGTGGTGCTGGGTGTGGTGCTGGGTGTGGCGATAGGTGTGGTTCTTGGTGGGGTGCTGGGTATGGTGTTGGGTGTGGTGCTGAGTGTGGTGATGGGTTTGGTGCTGGGTCTGGTGCTGGATGTGGTGCTGGGTGTGGCGCTGGATTTGGTGCTGGGTGTGGTGCTTGATGTCGTGCTGTGTGAGGTGCTGGGTGTGGTGCTGTGTATCGTGCTGGGTGTGGTGTTTGGTGTGATCATGGGTGTGGTGCTGGGTATGGTGCTGGATGTGGTGCTGGGTGTAATGCTGGGTGTGATGCTGGGTGTGATGCTGGGTGTAATGCTGGGTGTGGTGCTGGGTGTGATGCTGGGTGTGGTGCTGGGTGTGGTGCTGGGTGTGATGCAGACTGAAGTGCAGGGTGTGGTGCTGGGTGTGGTGATGGGTATGGTGCTGGGTATGGTGCTGGGTGTGGTGCTGTGTGTGGTGCTGGGTGTGATGCTTGGTATGATGCTGGGTCTGGTGTTGGGTGTGGTGCTGTGTGTGGTGCTGTGTGTGGTGGTTGGTGTGGTGCTGGGTCTGGTGCTAGATATGGTGCTGGTGATGGTATTTGGTGTTGTCATTGGTATGATGCTGGGTGTGGTGCTGGGTGTGGTGTTGGGTGTGGTTCTGGGTGTGGTGCAGGGTGTGGTGCTGGGTCTGGTACTGGGTGTGATGCTTGGTGTGGTGCTGTGTGTGGTGCTGGGTGTGGTGCTGTGTGTGGTGCTGTGTGTGGTGCTGGGTGTGGTGCTGTGTGTGGTGCTGTGTGTAGTGCTGGGTATGGTGATTGGTATGGTACTTGGTGTTGTTATTAGTATGGTGCTGGGTGTGGTGCTAGGTGTGGTGATTTGTGTGGTACTTGGTGTTGTGATTGGTTTGGTGTTGGGTATGGCGCTCGGTGTGATGCCTGGTGGGGTGCTGGGTGTGGGACTGGGTGTGGTGCTGGATGTGGTGCTGGGTGTGGTGCTGGGTGTGGCGATAGGTGTGGTTCTTGGTGGGGTGCTGGGTATGGTGTTGGGTGTGGTGCTGAGTGTGGTGATGGGTTTGGTGCTGGGTCTGGTGCTGGATGTGGTGCTGGGTGTGGCGCTGGATTTGGTGCTGGGTGTGGTGCTTGATGTCGTGCTGTGTGAGGTGCTGGGTGTGGTGCTGTGTATCGTGCTGGGTGTGGTGTTTGGTGTGATCATGGGTGTGGTGCTGGGTATGGTGCTGGATGTGGTGCTGGGTGTAATGCTGGGTGTGATGCTGGGTGTGATGCTGGGTGTAATGCTGGGTGTGGTGCTGGGTGTGATGCTGGGTGTGGTGATGGGTGTGGTGCTGGGTGTGATGCAGACTGAAGTGCAGGGTGTGGTGCTGGGTGTGGTGATGGGTATGGTGCTGTTTATGGTGCTGGGTCTGGTGCTGGGTGTGGTGCTGGGTGTGGTGCTGGGTGTGGTGGTTGGTGTGATGCTGGGTGTAGTGCTGGGTGTGGTGCAGGGTGTGGTGCTGGGTGTGGTGCTGGGTGTGGTGCTGTGTGTGGTGCTGGGTGTGGTGCTGTGTGTGGTGCTGTGTGTAGTGCTGGGTATGGTGATTGGTATGGTACTTGGTGTTGTTATTAGTATGGTGCTGGGTGTGGTGCTAGGTGTGGTGATTTGTGTGGTACTTGGTGTTGTGATTGGTTTGGTGTTGGGTATGGCGCTCGGTGTGATGCCTGGTGGGGTGCTGGGTGTTGGACTGGGTGTGGTGCTGGATGTGGTGCTGGGTGTGGTGCTGGGTGTGGCGATAGGTGTGGTTCTTGGTGGGGTGCTGGGTATGGTGTTGGGTGTGGTGCTGAGTGTGGTGATGGGTTTGGTGCTGGGTCTGGTGCTGGATGTGGTGCTGGGTGTGGCGCTGGATTTGGTGCTGGGTGTGGTGCTTGATGTCGTGCTGTGTGAGGTGCTGGGTGTGGTGCTGTGTATCGTGCTGGGTGTGGTGTTTGGTGTGATCATGGGTGTGGTGCTGGGTATGGTGCTGGATGTGGTGCTGGGTGTAATGCTGGGTGTGATGCTGGGTGTGATGCTGGGTGTAATGCTGGGTGTGGTGCTGGGTGTGATGCTGGGTGTGGTGCTGGGTGTGGTGCTTGGTGTGATGCAGACTGAAGTGCAGGGTGTGGTGCTGGGTGTGGTGATGGGTATGGTGCTGGGTATGGTGCTGGGTGTGGTGCTGTGTGTGGTGCTGGGTGTGATGCTTGGTATGATGCTGGGTCTGGTGTTGTGTGTGGTGCTGTGTGTGGTGCTGTGTGTGGTGGTTGGTGTGGTGCTGGGTCTGGTGCTAGATATGGTGCTGGTGATGGTATTTGGTGTTGTCATTGGTATGATGCTAGGTGTGGTGCTGGGTGTGGTGTTGGGTGTGGTTCTGGGTGTGGTGCAGGGTGTGGTGCTGGGTCTGGTACTGGGTGTGATGCTTGGTGTGGTGCTGTGTGTGGTGCTGGGTGTGGTGCTGGGTGTGGTGCTGTGTGTGGTGCTGGGTGTGGTGCTGTGTGTGGTGCTGTGTGTAGTGCTGGGTATGGTGATTGGTATGGTACTTGGTGTTGTTATTAGTATGGTGCTGGGTGTGGTGCTAGGTGTGGTGATTTGTGTGGTACTTGGTGTTGTGATTGGTTTGGTGTTGGGTATGGCGCTCGGTGTGATGCCTGGTGGGGTGCTGGGTGTTGGACTGGGTGTGGTGCTGGATGTGGTGCTGGGTGTGGTGCTGGGTGTGGCGATAGGTGTGGTTCTTGGTGGGGTGCTGGGTATGGTGTTGGGTGTGGTGCTGAGTGTGGTGATGGGTTTGGTGCTGGGTCTGGTGCTGGATGTGGTGCTGGGTGTGGCGCTGGATTTGGTGCTGGGTGTGGTGCTTGATGTCGTGCTGTGTGAGGTGCTGGGTGTGGTGCTGTGTATCGTGCTGGGTGTGGTGTTTGGTGTGATCATGGGTGTGGTGCTGGGTATGGTGCTGGATGTGGTGCTGGGTGTAATGCTGGGTGTGATGCTGGGTGTGATGCTGGGTGTAATGCTGGGTGTGGTGCTGGGTGTGGTGCTGGGTGTGGTGCTTGGTGTGATGCAGACTGAAGTCCAGGGTGTGGTGCTGGGTGTGGTGATGGGTATGGTGCTGGGTATGGTGCTGTGTGTGGTGCTGTGTGTGGTGCTGGGTGTGATGCTTGGTATGATGCTGGGTCTGGTGTTGGGTGTGGTGCTGTGTGTGGTGCTGTGTGTGGTGGTTGGTGTGGTGCAGGGTCTGGTGCTAGATATGGTGCTGGTGATGGTATTTGGTGTTGTCATTGGTATGATGCTGGGTGTGGTGCTGGGTGTGGTGTTGGGTGTGGTTCTGGGTGTGGTGCAGGGTGTGGTGCTGGGTCTGGTACTGGGTGTGATGCTGGGTGTGGTGCTGGGTGTGGTGCTGGGTGTGGTGCTGGGTGTGGTGCTGGGTGTGGTGCTTGGTATGGCGCTGGGTGTGGTGCTGGGTGTCGTGCTGTGTGAGGTGCTGGGTGTGGTGCTGTGTATCGTGTTGGGTGTGGTGTTTGGTGTAATCATGGGTGTGGTGCTGGGTATGGTGCTGGATGTAATGTTGGGTGTGGTGCTGGGTGTAATGCTGGGTCTGATCCTGGGTGTGGTGCTGAGTTTAATGCTGGGTATGGTGCAGACTTAAGTGCAGGGTGTGGTGCTGGGTGTGGTGCTGGTTGTGGTTCTGTGTGTGGTTCAGGGTGTGATGCTGGGTCTGGTGCTGGGTGTGATGCTGGGTGTGGTGCTGGGTGTGGTGCTGGGTGTGATGCAGACTGAAGTGCAGGGTGTGGTGCAGACTGAAGTGCAGGGTGTGGTGCTGGGTGTGGTGATTGGTATGGTGCTGGGTATGGTGTTAGGTATTGTGCTGGGTATGGTGCTGTGTGTGCTGCTTGGTATGGTGCTGGGTGTGGTGCTGTATAAGGCGCTGGGTGTGGTGCTGGGTACGGTGCTTGGTATGATGCTGGGTGTGGTGCTGTGTGTGGTGCTGGGTGTGATTCTTGGTATGATGCTGGGTCTGGTGTTGGGTGTGGTGCCGGGTGTGGTGCTGTGTGTGGTGGTTGGTGTGGTGGTGGGTCTGGTGGTGGGTCTGGTGCTGGGTCTGGTGCTAGGTATGGTGCTGGGTATGGTATTTGGTGTTGTCATTGGTATGATGCTGGGTGTGGTGCTGGGTGTGGTGCTGGGTGTGGTTCTGGGTGTGGTGCAGGGTGTGGTCCTGGGTCTGGTGCTGGGTGTGATGCTTGGTGTGGTGCTGGGTGTGGTGCTGGGTGTGGTGCTGGGTGTGGTGCTGGGTGTTGTCATTGGTATGGTGCTGGGTGTGGTGCTGGGTGTGGTGCTCGGTATGGCGCTGGGTGTGGTGCTGGATGTCGTGCTGTGTGAGGTGCTGGGTGTGGTGCTGTGTATCGTGCTGGGTGTGGTGTTTGGTATGATCATGGGTGTGGTGCTGGGTATGGTGCTGGATGTGGTGCTGGGTGTAATGCTGGGTGTGATGCTGGGTGTGGTTCTGGGTGTAATGCTGGGTGTGATGCTGGATGTGGTGCTGGGTGTAATGCTGGGTATGGTGCAGACTTAAGTGCAGGGTGTGGTGCTGGGTGTGGTTCTGGGTGTGGTGCAGGGTGTGGTGCTGGGTCTGGTGCTGGGTGTGATGCTGGGTGTGGTACTGGGTGTGGTGCTGGGTGTGGTGCTGGGTGTGGTGCTGGGTATGGTGCTGTGTGTGGTGCTGGGTGTGGTGCTGGGTGTGGTGCTAGGTATGGTGCAGGGTGTGGTGCTGGGTATGGTGCTGGATATGGTGCTTGATATGGTGCTGGGTATGGTGCTGGGTATGGTGCTCTGTGTGGTGCTGGGTATGGTGCTGGGTGTGGTGCTAGGTGTGGTGATTTGTGTGGTACTTGGTGTTGTGATTGGTTTGGTGTTGGGTATGGCGCTGGGTGTGATGCCTGGTGTGGTGCTAGGTGTGGTGCTGGGTTTGGGACTGGGTGTGTTGCTGGATGTGGTGCTGGGTGTGGTGCTGGATGTGGCGCTTGGTGTGGTGATAGGTGTGGTTCTTGGTGGGGTGCTGGGTATGGTGTTGGGTGTGGTGCTGAGTGTGGTGATGGGTTTGGTGCTGGGTCTGGTGCTGGATGTGGTGCTGGGTGTGGCGCTGGGTTTGGTGCTGGGTGTGGTGCTGGATGTCGTGCTGTGTGAGGTGCTGGGTGTGGTGCTGTGTATCGTGCTGGGTGTGGTGTTTGGTGTGATCATGGGTGTGGTGCTGGGTGTGGTGCTGGGTGTGGTGCTGGGTGTGATGCTGGGTGTATTGCTGGGTGTGATGCTGGGTGTGGTGCTGGGTGTGGTGCTGGGTGTGGTGCTGGGTGTGGTGCTGGGTTTGCTGCAGGGTATGATGTTAGGTATGGTGTTAGGTATTGTGCTGGGTATGGTGCTGTGTGTGCTGCTTGGTATGGTGCTGGGTGTGGTGCTTTGTGGGGTGCTGGGTGTGATGCTTGGTATGATGCTGGGTCTGGTGTTGGGTCTGGTGCTGGGTCTGGTGCTAGGTATGGTGCTGGGTATGGTATTTGGTGTTGTCATTGGTATGATGCTGGGTGTGTTGCTGGGTGTGGTGCTGGGTGTGGTTCTGGGTGTGGTGCAGGGTGTGGTGCTGGGTCTGGTGCTGGGTGTGATGCTGGGTGTGTTGCTGGGTGTGGTGCTGGGTGTGGTGCTGGATGTGGTGCTGGGTGTGGTGCTGGGTGTGGTGCTGGGTATTGCGCTGGATATGGTGCTGGATGTGGTGCTCTGTGTGGTGCTGGGTATGGTGCTGGGTGTGGTGCTGAGTGTGGTGCTGAGTACGGTGCTGGGTGTGATGCTGGGTGTGGTGCTGGGTATGGTGCTTGATGTGGTGCTGGGTGTGGTGCTGGGTGTGATGCTGGGTGTGGTGCTGGATGTGGTGCTGGATGTGGTGCTGGGTGTGATGCTGGGTGTGGTGCTGGGTGTGGTGCTGGGTGTGGTGCTGGGTTTGCTGCAGGGTATGGTGCAGGGTATGGTACATGGTATGCTGCTAGGTATTCTACATAAAGTATGGTGCTGAGTATGCTATTGGATATAGTGCAGTGTATGGTGCTGTGTATTGTATAAGGTATAGTGCTGAGTATGCTACTGTGTATAATTCAGGGTATGGTGCTGGGTATTCGACTTGGTATTGTGCTTGGTATTGTATAAGGTATGGTGCTGATTATGCTACAGGGTGTGGTACAGGGTATTCTACTGGGTTTTGTGCTGGGTTTGGTGCTGGGTATGATGTCCGTGAAATAGAGCAAACTTATACATTTTGACCAGGTTACTCCATTCCCAAGAGGGTAAGGAAATACATCACCTGGGTAAAGGACAGTTACAGTTATGAAATATGATATCAATGTTAAGCGATACTTACATCTTGACCCCTCCTCCACCATACATAACCACCTGCTGAAAGGAGGCAAAGACAAAGCTAGAAAGGCGCAGACTATTTGTATCTCCGTCGGACAATCACACCAGGTATTTGATAGAGTGCAGCCAGTACGACGCTGCACACTGTTATCTGCTTGACAACAAACCTTTCCTGCTGTGCGGTTTCAAGTACGTTTTTTTTTAATTTTCCCGGTTTCGAAGAGACAGAATGTTAAACATAAGAGGCCAACCATTTGGTACTCGAGGGGTTCTTGAATATGTCACATTCACAAAAACCCGGTGTAAACGTGGATTGCGTTTTTTTTAACTTTCAACGATTCATTTGGGTCATTTTGACATACCACCCTCGTAGTGATAACATAATATTTATCTCGTGACTCTAGTTTGCAATACTGTTGCACCTCATTTACCGTCTACCTGTCTCAATACTGTTGCACCTCACACACCATCTACAGGTCTAAATACTTTTGCACCTCACCCACCATCTGTCTGAATACTGTTGCACCTCACCCACCATGTGTCTCAATACTGTTGCACCTCACCCACCATCTGTCTGAATACTGTTGCACCTCACCCACCATGTGTCTCAATACTGTTGCACCTCACCCACCATCTGTCTGAATACTATTGCACCTCACCCACCATGTGTCTCAATACTGTTGCACCTCACCCACCATCTGTCTCAATACTGTTGCACCTCACCCACCATCTGTCTGAATACTGTTGCACCTCACACACCATCTACAGGTCTAAATATTGTTGCACCTCACCCACCATGTGTCTCAATACTGTTGCACCTCACCCACCATCTGTCTGAATACTGTTGCACCTCACCCACCATCTGTCTGAATACTGTTGCACCTCACCCACCATCTGTCTCAATACTGTTGCACCTCACACACCATCTGTCTGAATACTGTTGCACCTCACACACCATCTACATGTCTGAATAATGTTGCACCTCAGCCACCATGTGTCTCAATACTGTTGCACCTCACCAATCTGTCTGAATACTTTAATACTGTTGCACCTCAACTACCGTCTACCTGTCTCAATACTGTTGCACCTCACACACTATCTACAGGTCTCAATACTATTGCACTTCACCCACCATCTGCCTGAATACTGTTGCACCTGTGTGTTTGGAGGTGTAATCCGTGTAAATGTGACACCAATTTGGCCAATTTTCGTGTATGTATGCTAGTGTGGTGGTTTTAGCTATGTTTGGGTCGGTTTGTTTATTTATTTGGTTAGCTAGTGTTGTGTCTATTTTGGGTATTTTAAGTTTAGGGGTGAAGATATTTGATTGTTTGCAGTTTTGTTTAAGATTTTTAATTTGGTGTTCATTTAGGTAGTTTGTTATTCTTTGGGATATTGGGGTAAGTAAGGGGTGTTTACGAGCTAGAGCTTGGTTTTTGGGGCTGATGTTTTGGTTTATTAAGTTTTGGATGAGAGGGTTTGATTGGGACGCGGCCCAGAAATTTAAGCTTAGCTGTTCCCTGCGTAGACTTAGTGGTATTTCTCCTGTTAAGGCCTGAAGTGAAGTGTAGGAGGTGCCATGTTGGGTGCGTGTAATTAGTTCGAGAGCCTGATATTGTATTGAGTCAAGTTTTTTAGGTAGAGAGTTGTTTAGGGTATTGTATATGGCGCAGCCGTAGTCTAGTTTTGATCTAATTAGTGATATGTAGAGAGAGAGGAGGGTATCTTTGGAGGCTCCCCAGTTAGAGCCAGTTATGCATCTTAGGGTGTTTAGGTCTTTACTGCATTTAGTTGTTAGGTTTGGGATGTGAGCATCCCAGGTGAGATGTTCATCGAAAATAAGTCTTAAGAATTTGGTTTGTTTTTGAAATTTGATTTGATTTGGTTGTTTAGCTGGAGAATTGAGGAGGCGGGTTTCATGTTTTTATGTTTGAATACTATTCCTGTTGTTTTTCCTGAGTTAAGGGAGAAGCCCCATTTGTCAGCCTATTGTTGTATTTTATTAAGAGATTTTTGGAGTAAATTTTGGGCCATTTTCATGTTTTTAGTGCGGATCCAGAGGGCTCCATCATCCGCGAATTTCGATATGTTTACTTTAGGGGATAGGCCCTCGAATAGATCGTTTATCATTATATTGAAGAGGGTGGGGCTGAGGATACTGCCCTGTGGAGTGCCATTTTCTAGGGGACATTGGTCCGATAGAGTTTGGTCTATACCCACGGTCATTTTACGATTGTTTAGGAAGTCCTGGATGTAGTTTATTATCTGACCTTTGAGTCCTATTTTTTTAAAGTTTTTGTATTAGCCCATCGTGCCATACCATGTCGAAAGCTTGAGAAGTCTAAGAAGATGCCTGTGGTATATTGTTTATTTAGTTGTCCTGTCTTAATATTTTGTTCTAGTCGGGCGAGGTTATCTAGGGTTGAGCGGCCAGGAGTGAAACCGCTTTGATCTGGGTTTATGATGTTATTTTGGGTTAAGTAATGTTGTAATCTATTTTTAGCCATTGATTCCATTACTTTACATAAGTTTGAAGTTAGGGATATTGGTCTATATGACTTAGCTTGATTAGCTTGTTTATTAGGTTTAGGGATTGGTATGACTAGGGCCTGTTTCAAGGGAGTAGGAACCTGTCCGTTTAGGTAGATGAGATTGTATAGTTTGAGTAGTGCCTGGAGTAGTTTTAGGGGGAGTTTTTTTAATTATTTGGTAAGAAGTTAGGTCTAATCCTGGAGCTGTGCCCTTTTTCCTGTTTTGGATTACGTAGAGGAGCTCGTCCATTGTGTAGGGTTGGTTTATTTCTAGATTGTTATTGTTTGGTTCTTTTGTGGGTTTGTTTTCTGTTTATCTTGGAATTTTTGGCTGAAGTTGATGTTACTGCTAACGGCCGAAAAGTGGTTGGCGAGATTATTTGCTTTTTGGGTGGGGTTGGTTGAGTTGTTAATGTTAGTTTTTTTTTTATGTCGTTATAAGCCTCTAATGGCGTGGATTTTGCGCCAGACCGTTCTGGCATCAGTACGGTTATTTATACCTTCGCAGAATTTTTTCCAGTCTCTACTTTTGGCTATTTGGACTAGTTTTTGAACCTGGTGGTTTAGTTCGTGGGCTATGTTTAAATATTTTTGTAGTCGCGTTTTGCTTTATTGAGGGCTGATTTACGTTTTTGTCTAGTCTGTTCTATTTCCTCATTCCACCATGGTACCGTCGGTTTGCCTGTGTTGGATGTTTTGAAGGGGATGGAGGTTTTGGCTGCGTTTATTATATAGTCTGTTAGGTTTTTACAATAGAGTTCTGGATCATTATTTTCTATTTCGTTTAAGTTAGCTTCGTTGCAGATATCTTGGAATTGGTCCCAGTTAACTTTATTGTAATGGAATTTTGGTTCTTGGTTTTCTGTTTGGATTGGTACGTTTGTATTTCCTATGGTTATGTTTATGGGGAAGTGGTCACTACCTAACATGTTACCTGTAAACTGACTTGATAAGTAGCATAACAGTCAGTGTGGTTGGAAACTAACTAAGCCGTCACTACTCAATTAAGTAATTAACAGAGAATTGCAAGTGATAATACCCACCTGACACTAATTGCCCTGTTAATCCCAAATCCACCATGAGTTGACATTGAGTTCATATTGCTAATGAGCTGTTGTGAGCGTAACGAGATGATAAACATGAAAGGTGGGACAGGCTTTGATCATGTGTTCTGTAGAAGAGATTATGTCACTTGTTTAAAGGGGCACTGATCTAACGCAATTCCCCGGGACTGGTTGTTGCCTTTGTTATTGTTTTTTCCCAGTGAGTACCCGGATGTATAGCAGAAAT